GAAAACTTCTTCTTTTTTCTTAAATCCTTAACCGAGAAACATCAGTGTGGGAGAGAAACATTGATAGATTACCACCCTTATGGGCCCCAACCAGGGATTAAACCCATATCCTAAGTATGTGCCTTTACTGGGAATTAAACTTGTGGCATTTCAGTTTACGGGACAATCCTCCAACCAAGTGAACCATACCAGGCAGGGCATGAAACCTTCTTAGTCCTTAATTTAGGTGTCTGAATTTGCAACCTCTGGCCTATATGATCACAGAACGCTAGTATTGGACGAGATCATAAGAAATCATCTTGTCTAGCAGCCTCCTTCCTCCTCTCTTTAACCTCTAAGAGACAGAGAAACTGAGGGCCAAAGAATTTACATACCTGACCAATTTTATACAGCTTATGTGAACAGGAGTCTATTACATGTCATTACGCCTATTCCTTATCCTGGTGAGGTAAGTCCCTAATACTGGGCCTGTCCTTAAAACTTTTCAGGTTCAAGGTCTCTGTGCTTTAAAACTCTTGCTTTTTCAGGCCCTGAGGCTGAAACCGTAATCAGGTAAACTAGGCCCTAAATGAGACCATTGCTCGTGAGTTTTTAGATTATGAATCTTAAATATCTGTCCCCAGTCTTTTCAAGTCTTATTCTCTAGTGCTTACCTGCATATATCTCATATTCCTGGGAGGTGTGTATGCAGTATGCGTGTATGTTATCCAAAACATACTCGGTACTTTCCAACCTTTTTGATTGTTTAGTTATTCTCTCCACCTAGATTACCAGTTCCCAATCTCTGCCTTACGTAACTTTTTCCATCTTTTAAAGTCTACTTGAATGCTATCTTTTCCATAAAGTTTAGTAGTTAAGAAGGTAGTCTGCATGAAACAGACTTGGTTTGAAATCCTGGCTGTCCTTTTGCTACCATGTGACATTGGACAATTTATCTAATCTCTGTAAACCTCAGTTTTCTTATCTATAAGAGAATAACGTCCCCTTTTACAAATGGGTTGACTATAGTCCCACTTGTTAGAAGTATTTCTATGTACTGTAGGAATCCCGTCTTTTAAAAAAATTATTAGTTTTAAAAAAATTTAAAAAGATTTTATATATTTATATTTAGAGAGAGGGAAAGGGAAGGAGAGAGAGGGAAACATCAATGTGTAGTTGCCTTTATTGGGGACCTGGCCTGCAACCCAGGCATGTGCCCTGACTAGGAATTGAACTGGTGACTCTTTGGTTAGCAGGCTGGCACTCAATCCACTGAGCCTCACCAGCCAGGGCTCCTGTCTTGATTTATAGTTATTCATATTAGTTATTCTAATATTCATCATACTATTTGCCTTATTAGTTATTCATTACATATTATAAATATATACTTTTATATATATTTTATATATTTTTATATTATAAACCTATCTTTTGTTGGTGGACAGGTTGAATTGAACTCGCCTATGTGCAGCTTTGATTATTTCCTTTTGAGAATTTCTTAGAAGGATACTTAGTCATAGTATATACACATTTTAAGGATTTTGCTACATAGTTCTAAAATGCCTGAGGGATAAGGAAGATGTACTAATTTCAATTCCCACCTGCAATGCCTGTTTTACTAAACCCTTGTCCAAAATGTATTATTTTCCTTCTAATCTTTGTCAATTTAATAGGCATTGAATATGCCACTTATATTTATCACTCATGTGGCTGAATATACCTATTTATTGGCCATGTTTATATGTACCTTTTGATATGTTTTTGTTACTCTTTTGATAATTTGTAAGTTTTTAAATTATTAAAACATCCATTCCCACCTTGACATCTTCCTTCTCAGTTCTGTGTCCTATCAAAGCTAATTTATGTACTTGATCTATGCATCTCATCTCCTCCTATTTCTTTAGCAATTCATTCAGTTATCTCCTTTCTTGTCAGTTATCTGTAACATCTGACTACCAGTTTTTTCCTCTTGCACTAATAAACACCACTAAGTCTCTTCTCCTTAAAGAAAAGCCTCAAGTTTTCTTTCACTTGCCATTCTCCTCTAGCTACTGATCTTTCTCTTTTCTTTTACAGTCAAACTTTTCAAAAGAATTGTCTTCACAGGTGCATTCACTTCATTTCTATCTCTTCAACTCACTAAAAAAAATTTACATTAAGATCTGCAATGCCTTCTTTGTTGCTAAGATTTCAATATCAGAATTATATCACGTATAAATATATGTGAAAAGACAGGCTACAAAGTGATTTTCCCCGAAGGAATTTAACTATGTAAAGGATATTTATGCAGAGAAAAAAACTGATCACACATGAAAAATTTTATTCCTGAGCAGGTAAATAGTGAGTTTAAAAAAATTTTTTCCCCCTCACAATTTTAAAAGCAAGAATAATTTATTTTGACATTAGACCACATTACAACGTAAATTAGAAATTCTCAGCTTACATTTTTTGAAAGGAGGCAGAAAACTAGAGAAGTGACAGTAAGAAGCTAGTGGGCCACACTTCGTTTCGCTGCAAGGCTCAGAGCGGCACAAGAGAGCGTGACCCAGATCCCCAGGACAGGCGCTCCCGCGGGACACTACTGGATAACCTCTGAGTAGGGCGATCTCCTCTTAAAAGGGCCGTCATGCCGTCTTCACTCATGCCAAATGACCTCCGAGCATTTCAGCCAAACCTGCTAACTGCTCCAAACCTCAGAAAACCGGCAATAGCTTCCGGTTGCCCTAGTAACAGTCAGTGAACTCCCAACACTATTTCCATAAGTCTTCCCAGAATGCTGCGCGCCTCCTCTCATTCACTTCCGGGTTCGGCGGGCTGACTGCTCAGGAAGTATATGCCTGTCATTCATAACCTAGCGGGCTTACTGGGCGGAGTGCGGCGCGTTCCTGCGGAGGGCCGCAGGGACTGTTTTTCCCTCAACATTCGAAAAGACAGGCGGGCCAAATTTTTGTTGGAGTCGCTTAATGGATTAGATATTAGGTATTAAAAAGCTGAAAGGCGTTAAGCAGCATAACATTAGCTTCAGTGTCATTTGTTGCTGTGATTTATTTTTAGAACTTTAAACAAATTCCTATAAGAAGCAATTTGTTTTGCTTCAGAAAATGCAGGCGAGCACAAAAAACCAAAACATTCAAATTTCACCTAACAAACAACTATCGTGAGCACTGCAGAGTAGTCTTCCAGACCTTTTTATGCTTATAATAAAATTTCAAAAAGGAATCATATTGTATATGCTGTTTTGTAACTTAAAAAACTTTTTTAAAAAATTTTACTTATTTATTTTTAGACAGAGGGGAAGGGAGAGAGAAAGAGGGAGAGAAATATCAAAGTGTAGTTGCCCCTCGCGGGCCCCCTGCTGGGGGCCTCAGCAACCCAGGCATGTGCCCTGACTGGGAATCCAACCAGGGACCTTTTGGTTGGAAGGCCAGCACTTAGTCCACTAAGTCACAGCAGCCAGGGCTTAGGAAAACTTTATGAACACATTTAATTGAGAATAGACACTTCAACAACATGGCTACATGTATTCCATTGTACATGTTGTTGGACACAAACTTCTTATCCTTTTTGCTTTTAATTAGTGATTAGTGCTGCAATCCAGAAATGAAAATCTTTGGAGCTAAATCTTTTCCATGCTTTCATTTCTTTGTGGTATTTAGTTTTCTTTTAACTTAGCCATTTAGATTTGCATATCCCTATCTTTCCCCTAATACCTTCCCATTTCATCCCTATGTCTTTGTACTATAAGAGAAGTTACACACATGACATCCAAAGCCTACTCAATTAAAAATTTTTTTTTTCTGGTTATAAAGGTAATACACGCTTATTGTAGAATGGGAAATTCAGAAGAATATAATAAAAATATATTACCACCTAGGCAATTATTGATCGTATTTTGGCATAAATTTTTTCTCTGTTGACTTCAGAATGAGTATTGAAAACATGTTTGCTAATCCGGTAGGGAAAAAGGTAACCTTTTAATTTGCATTTCTTTGCTTATTCATATAGCTGAATAATATTTCAAGTAGTACTTCAAGTTTTTATAGGCTATGGTCCATTTCAGGCCCCATCCTTTCTCTCTAGCCTCCCTTCAGTTTTCCATACTAAACACACTAACTTGTAATGGGTGTTCATATTTTCATAGAATTCCAAATGAATGAATAATACTAGCACGCCATCCAATTTGGATATTAAGCATTTGTGACACATACAGGCACTGCCTTTATTATTTAGATACATTTTTTACATAAACCATGTTATGTGATCCTCTTCAACCTCAGCAATTCTCTTATTCTGTTTCTGTGACCATACCTGACTCATTATAGTAGGTGCTGACTAAATGTGTGAGCTTAACAGAATAATTTAGTTAAAAGAGAAACTCAAATTTAAGTTAAAACCCGACAGACTGTGACGAAAGCCATAACAAGTACGAAATACTTTGTACATTGGGCGATCAGGAGAGGTTAACTTGGGTTATGGTATCTGGGAATGCCATGTGGAGCTGGTAGATTTGACCAGGATCTGGATAAGGACTGAGGAAAGGGGCTTAAAGATGGAAGTATGAGCTATGGCTTGGAAGTAGAAGGAAAGAGATTATGTTATCAGTTATTTGATGTGGCAAGAAAGTAGAGTTGGGTGAATGGGCCCCAGATGAAGCAGAAAAAAAGTAGTTGGGTCCTAAAGTATGAGGATTTTGATGTGACCAGTCGTTATAATTGTAGCTTTCAAATGTTTCTGAAAAATACTACTTAAAATGTGGCTGGGTAGGGGGGGCACGGGAGAGGTGGGACACAAAGGCAGACGCCCACCCTAGCTCCTCCCGCCTGCACGCCACGCGACGCCCCCGCCCATGCCCCTCCCGACGTCCCTCGCTCCACCCCGAGCCTTTTGCCCCGCCCCTCACCGTTCGCCCCTCCACTCCACGCGCTTTTCGCCCCCGCCCAGCGTCCCTTGCTGAGCTGAGGAGCCCCTGGGCCCAACCTCTTCGGCGCCGCCCTGTGACGGTCGTCCCGCCCACCGTCAGGTCAGCTACGCGGAGGGAGGGCCTGGGCTGTGGGTTTGGCGAGAGGGTGGTTACCTTTCCCTGTCTCACCGCCGGAGGCGGGAGCGAGCAGCGGTGAGGTCCGCGGATGGCATGGCAGGAGCTCCGGACGGGCGCGGGCCGGGCCCCGCGGCGGGAGAACAGCGGCCACACGCTGCGTGCCAAGCCTTCCCCGAGCGGCTGGTTCAGGGGAAGCCACAGCAGGGTTTCCTCTCCAGCTTCTTCGATAACAACCAGAACTGCCAGCTCATGCTTCTGAAGACTCTGCAGACAAGTAGGAGCTGATCCCGAGGCTGGCGGTCGGCGGGTGATGTCTGAGACCCATTGGGCAGGGAAGGGCCTGGCGCCACTTTTTCGGGGGGCCCCGGGTTCAGTCCCAGGTGCGGCATGGGCCAGATTTAGGCACCTCAGCTCAGAGACTAGGCAGGTTCGGCAGCATGGGAGCAGGAGTAGGGGGTCTGGGCCTCAGTTTCCTCATGAGGGGAGACACTGAGGCCGCTTTCGGCAATGCTGCTGTCTGTGCAGTGAACAAGGAGTCGGATTAGGAGTTTCCCCTTTTCTTGTCACACTCAATCGTCTGACAGATAATCTGACTTATGTAAGATATGCAACAATATGGACACTTCAGAGTCTGGGTGAAGCAGAGTTTTGAAGAGCCATGTTAATGAAGACGTACTTAACTGTTGGCAGTGCAAAAATGACAGTGTTACAAACCTGCCCTTCGGTGGAAGGAGGCCTTAGCCTTCATACATGGATGGGCTTCAGAATGTACTGTGAAATGAACTGTGAAACCGTCCGCATGTGCACGAAGTGCAGTTTTTTGGGTAGAGAGTTTATAGCTTCATCGTATTCTCAAGAGACCCAAGACCTCAAAAGGGTTAAGAGCCACTACTGTGGGTTCAGTGAGGGCACAACTACCCGCCAACCCATTATCTCTCTGCCCAGGGTCGTTGCACTAGAGATTTCTTGACTGTTTTATACTGCATAGACTTCTTAAATTTACTTCAGTCACAGTTAGAATTCAAAGTGTTAAATGTACTTGTCTCAAAGCAAGGTTACTATTTCACAGTTGACCAGTCACCGTTCAAAAATCAACAGCCTGGCCCCGGCCGGTCAGCTTGGTTGGTCAGGGCATCCTCCGAACATGCCAAGGTTGCTCTCTCCAGTCAGGGCACATACAAGAATCAACCACTGAGTGCATAAAGAAGTGGGACAACACATCGATGCCTGTCTGTCTCTCTTTCTTCCCATTCCTCTCTCTCTAAAATCAGTTAAAACATAACCACCCAAAGATTTTCTGACCTTCTTGAGGTTACCTGCATATATGGAATCAAGGGAGGTGGGAGGAAGAAGGGAAGTAGAGGGAATGATGACATTGTATTTACAATGTGTACGGAATACCTCCTAGGTTCTGGTGTGAGAAAATACCAAGAGGAGTAAAGACTGTTCTCGCTTTTAAGATGTTTCAGTGGAACACAGTGAAAAGAACATGGGATGCAGAGTTAGACGTTGCTTCAAATTCTGGTCCCTCTCCCTGTTAGATGTGGAAGAGTGATTTCACTCTCAGATTCCCTCTATTCCCATCTGCAAAAAACAAAGGTGGGGGTGGGGGAGAGGGCTAAAAAGACCTCCTTTTGAGTTGTGAGGAATAGATTTTATGAATGCAAAGTGCCAGCATATCAGGAGCTGAATAAAGGGTAGCTCTTCTTGCAGTGAAAGAGCCAAATAGTGAAGGGAAAAGTTGAGATAGGATGTGAGGTGCTGAACATGAGCCCCTGTAGGAATTAATAGCCCTCAACCTTCCAGGGAGAGCAACTGGGAAAACCTGTTGGTGGTATTAAAGCACCAGCCTGCAGCTTTGAAATTCTATACCTGAGGAAGAGTGATGGGAGAAATCAAGCCTCATGGGAGATGTTTGTTTTCTTTTTCTTCAAAGCACATTGATTCTAAAATACTACAGGTCCTTTTCGAAGTACAAAACCACTGTGCTCCCTGCATTTTTTTTTTTTTTTTCAGTAAGAGGACTAGTAGATAATTTGAACCTATTTCAACTCTGTAAAAGTCTCCTAGTTGCTTGAGTGATAATGTACTTGATATGGTGCCAGACAGCTGATATACACTAAATAGTACTTATTATTAATAATAATTATTTTACTGTTAACACTCTTAAGAGGAGACATGTTAGTAACGCAATAACCTAACCTAACTTTATCACTCCAATTACTACTTTTACTCTCCTGTTTTTGCTTTCAACCTTCTAAAAAAGTAACCTTGATTACTTTTCTTTTTCTACTTTTTTTTTGCTTATGTCTTATAATTTGTTGTGCATCTCTACCCTCAGACAAGACACCTATGTGAAAAGTTATTAGAGGCATTTGGGTTCATTGTACTTTCCTTTATCATAGGCTCATAGGATTTCAGAAGAGGGAGGGCCTCCAGGAGTCATAGGCCTTCCACCCCCGTACAGGGATGCCTCTGTGCTCTCACTGAGTGGAGCATGTGCAGGCCTCTGCTGGAGCAGGTTTTCCGTTCTTTGAGGCTACTGGTCTATTGGATCAAAAGCTCTAATTGTTGGGAAAACCCTTTTTCATTCTGAGTTGAAATCTGCACCATGTAACTTCTACCCTTTGGCCTTTGTTCTGTGCTCTTAAGAAATATTGACTGAATCTATTCCCACGCAGTCATCCCTTCAAATACTTGAAGCGATTGCAGTCCTAGTTAAGTCTTCTTTCTCCTTTCCAAATCCACAAACCTTTCTTGCTACTTACTGAACATAGTCCTATACTATTCTAATTGCTTTCCTTCTTGGAAGAGCTTCAGTTGGCAGGTTCCGTGCACAGTGTGGAACTCAGAATGGAACTCTGTTACCAGGGTGGTCTGACCGGGGTAGACAACAGTGGGGCAGCTACTTACTGCCTTCCTCTTAATCTAGATACTGTGCTGCTATTCATTTTTATGGATATGGCCCCAAATTCCCTCAGCCCTTCACCATTTAACTAAAAATGGCCTTTAAAAACATACTTGATATCTAAGATGTTTGGTAGTACCCATCTAGGTGTTTGTATCAGTGTTTCATTTCATTAAAGACTTGCTTTCATGTTAATTTAAGCTTGTCTTTTCTTTTTAATCAATTTTAGTACAGTATTACTTCATTAAGATTTGTGAATTGCTTTTTGATAATATCTTATACTGCTATTTGGATAATTTAATGGGCTGTTTTTTTTTTTCAATTAGCATTTGTAATTGAATCGCTATCTTTTTAGATCCATATGTCAAACTTCTACTTGATGCCATGAAGCACTCAGGTTGGTAAGTAAATCTTTTTGAAGTCTGTTCTGTATTCTGGTTGCTAAAAACAAAAACCCCTAAACTGGAACTACTTATATTTCACTTCAGGCCACAAGCCTCTTCCATGTGGTAGGTGGTAGTGATGGCTGCATTCTCTGCAGACAAGCCTTATTCTTTTCGGACATCTGGCCTAACTCTAAATCTCTGGCTCTATTAAGTAAACACAATACTTAACATCTTTCTTGTAAGTAATTATTAAACCTGGCTTTTCTACTATGCCAGCCTCAGCATTGTCCTTAATGGAGAAGAAATCTCAGCTTGTTATGTAGGAACTGTCCAGGTGTTGTTTAACTTTGAGGGGATTAGAGGAAGTGATTTCTGAGGTCCACTTACCATTCTGGCCCAAGGGCAGGAACTCTATCATATTTCCAATATGGTTTTAATTCGTTGATCAAATGCTTTATAGAATCATTAAGTTCATAGGATTTTAACTAGGTTAGATTTTAGAGATGATTTCCTTATTTTATAGATGAAAAAATTGAGTCCTGAAGGTGTCAAGTTGCTTTCCTAGTATTTCACATGTGTTCGTGGTGGAGGGGATTTGATACAGGTCTCCTGATCCAGGGCTGTTTCCCTGTGCCACATGCACATTGCTTCTGTACATTGCCTCTAATTCATCCTTGCCTTTTAGTGCTGTTAACAGAGAAAGACACTTTTCTTGTGAAGATTGTAATGGAAATGTCAGTGGAGGTTTTGATGCTTCAGTATCTCAGGTAGGCATTTTCGCCAACTTGTTTTCTTTCCTCCTATTATTTGCTGGGGACCTTCTACATGCTGGGGATTCTGTTGGGTAGACTTTCTGTGGGACTGAAAAAATGAATTAGTTATGGTTCTTATTCTTAAGGAACGTACACCTTCATAGAGGAGATAAAAGATGAACACAGGTGGGCATGGTTACCACAGTGGGACAGTGATGTGATTGACTGAAAGATGCCAGCAGGTTCAGCCAGAGATTATAAACCCCCGTCAGGGCAAAGGAGACAACAACTGTTGCCCAAACAGGGAAGCATGAGCAAAGGTGGCATGTGGGGAAAGAACAGAGTATATTTGGGGAATGGCATGTTGTCTAATTTGCTGGAGGACAGGAATGCATGGGAAATAAGGGACGTAGGATTGGAAAGAAGGCTAAGCCATGTGGTGGGAGGCTTTGAATGTTAAGCTGAAGAGTTTCACCTTTACACGGTGAGAAGTGATATATAACCTTTGAAAATTTTTGATTTCTGGAGTGAGATTTCTCATCTGTAAAATATGGGTAATGATCTTATTTATCTTATAGAATGGTTATGAGAATTAAGTGAGACATTTCTTGTAAAGTGCTTATCATAGCATTCAATACATATTATTAGTTTTACGTCATTGAAGGGTTTTGAGAGAATCTCAGAGGTGGTAGATTATGTCATGTGATGGGGGTAGATGAAGGTATTATAAATGTTTCTATCTTGAATATAACCCACATATAGCTGCATTTAATTGTTTCCTGATGGGGAATTTTATGTGCACTTTGGTTATTTATAGCTGTTTCACAGTAATCATGGGAAAAAGCAGTACAGCACAAGGGTGAGGGGTCAGGGTTTTGGAGTCAGATAGACTTGAGTTCAAATCCTAGTTCCCCTGCTCATTAGCTATGGACCTGGACAAGTTATTTGCCTTAGTCTCAGTTTCCTCATTTGTAAATTAGTAATCACAATACCTATGGCTCTCAAAATGGATCTTCGTAAGTTCACCCTCCCACCCCTCCTTGGAGTTAAATTGGACATTTTGAACACTTATCTTCTCAGCAGTTTTGAACACAGCGGGCACTCTCTTTTTGATTTTTTTAAATTAAAATTTGTATTGTGAAATATCTCATTCATACAGAAAGTAAAAAATCTGTATGTACACTTTTGGTCATAATAAAGAATGAATACCTACTGGTGCTGCTGCCACCCAGATGCGAGAAATAGAGCAGTGCCAGGACTTCGGAAGTTTTGCGCCCCTCTTGGATCACATTACCTCTCCTTCCTTGTTCTGACTTTTTATGGTAATCATTCTCTGTTTTCTGAATTACTTTACCATCTATATATACAACCCAACAATGTGTTACTTAGTTGCCCGCTCTTAAGGTTTATTCATGGATTACTTTGAGTTATAGGTAATACTTTGTAGTTTTATGAAATCACATGGTATATAATATACTGTAACATTTCTTATGTTCAACATTGTGAGATTCTTTTGTTCAACATTGTGAGATTTAACTCTTGTTAAATTTAGTTTCACTGTTGGATAATATTCCATCCTGTGTCTGTACTATAGTTTACCCTTTCTAATGTTGATTCTTTCCAACTTTGTTATTTTGGACAATGCTGCTGTGAGTATTTTAAAATTTTTCTCCTGGTGCACATGTGCAAAAGTTATTCCAGGATATATGCTCAGGAGTGGAATTGCTGGGTCATATGTTATGTTTACATTTGACTTTTGCAGGTAATGGCCAAACACTTTTTTTTCCCATGGTGTTCGGTGTATTATCAGTCTTCTGGTTGCTCTTGTGCTACCTCACCTTTCTCTGTCAGCCCTTAAATGTTGAAGTCCTGAATCCTTGATGTTAGATCCTATTTTTCTTAATTTTTACTTTGTACTCTGCCAAGGAGATCTCATTTATTTTCCTAGGCTAGAGTTCTTTTGAACTCCACATCCACATGTCCAATGGCCCACTTAATGCCCACAGTTGGGTATCTTAAAGGTACCTCAGACCTGACTGTCCAAGCCCAAACTGATGATTTTTACCATCCCTTATGCCACCCAATGTGGTCTTTTTGTTTTGCATATTTCAGTGAGTGGTACCACCATCCCTCCTGTTACACAAACCAGAAACTAGGGATCATTCTTGATACCTCTGATTCCCTTCCCATATTTTATCCATCACTAGATTTTATCTAATTTACCTTCTAGAAACCATTTTTGGCTCCCATTATCCGAGCTCAGTACCATTACCTCTTGCCCAGAATCCTTCATCAGCCTTCAACTAGTCTCTTTGCATCCAGTTTTGGTTGTCTTCTGCTTATTTTTCCAATTATAGTCAAAAGATAAAAACAAAATAAAACAAAAGCACCCCCCATCTCACCAGTGCCTTTCAGTGACTTCCCATTGCTCTCAGGATAGAGACAAGGAGTTCAGGTGTTCAGCTCCTGCCGACCTCACCAGTCTTATCTCATGCCTACCCCCTCCCACTTTGCTTCTAGAGGCCTTGTTCTCAGCTTCTCAAACACGCTATTCCTTCAGCCCCCCACACACCCTTCGCATAGGCGCGTCTCTCTGTCTGGTATGCTCCCTTCCCCACCCCTCAAATTTAACTCCCATTCATCCATTAGATCCCAGTTTCTACATTCCTTCTGCAGAGAAACCTTTCCCAAACCTCCAGGCCAGGCATTCTCATTGTAAGTACTTTTGACAACTTGGGTTTTTCTTCATGACATCTGTCATTGCATGTATTTAAGCATTTTGGTAAACATTGATTAATTTCTATCTCTGTTAGTAGATTATAAATCTACTAATAGGTCTCAATAAATATTAGTTGAGTAAATGGATGTCGAATGAAAGTATATGAAATATCAGGTATATGAGTATATCCCAGTGCCTGGCACATAGGGAGCACACACTAAATGGTAATTGTTATTATTAGGATTCCTCACATCTTAATTATTCTTAATAGGGTCCTGCTCAGTGTCCTGTTGGTTTCTTGCACTTCTTTCAGGAGGTTTTTCTGAGGATTTTTCCTGGCAGTTCTAGTACAGTGGAATGGCGGTGGTCATTTGTTGTTGATTCATTGCTCATTCAGAAACTTGATAAGAGGCATTTTACATATATTCTCATTTAACTCTCATAGTTCTATGAGATACGTACTCTAATTATCTCCCTTTTTATAGTTGAGGAAACTGAGGCACAGGGAGATAAGAAGCTTGTCCCAGGTCACCAAATTAGTAAAGTAATGGGGCTAGAATTTGAATGTCTGCTCAATCCAAAGTCTGTGCTCTAAATGCGGTGCCTTGGAGCTCAAGACACATTAATATAGTCAGTCCAACAAAGACAGTAAGTAAATAAATGTTCTCAATCTAAGTGTTATTCTAGTCAGAGAGAAGAGAAGGGAGAAGTTAGTCATTGGAAAGGCTTAATGGAGCATATAATTAAGACTGGGCCTTGGTGGACAGGTGGGTGGGGGGCCAGTGGAGAAAAGTGGGTAGAGGTAATACAAGCACGTCCCCATGTAAGAGAAAGGATGGAATCCATGAAATGAGAGTAGATTTTAGATGTAACTGAACTTCTCTTATTTTGGTGCCTCTTAGATTGTTTTGTGTCAGAATAATATCCGTAATCAGGCCCATATGAACAGAGTGGTCACCCACGAACTCATTCATGCATTTGATCATTGTCGTGCTCATGTTGACTGGTTCACCAATGTCAGACATTTGGCCTGCTCAGAGGTGAGTTTTATTGTAGAAGATACTGTTTTTATTTTGTTCTTGTAGAACACTATGTTTGAACAATTTATTCAAGTGTAAATTACTGTTTACACATATTCTTTTTCTCCCATCCAAGTACTAACCAGGCCCGACCCTGCTTAGTTTCAGAGAACGGGTGCGGTCAGGGTGGTATGGCCATAGACTAAACATACTCTTTTTCTTACTGCCATAGTTCCATGATAGTCTTGAATTTCTAACTAAATACAATTTTTGAGATAAAAGAGACATTTTTTAAAAAAGATTTTATTTGTTTATTTTTAGAAAGGGGAAAGGAGGGAGAAAGAGCAGGGATACATCAGCGTGCAGTTGCTTCTCAAGTGCCCCCTACTGGGGACCTGACCCACAACCCAGGCATGTGGCCTGACTAGGAATCGAACAGACAGCACTTTGGTTTGCAGTCTGGTACTCAATCCACTGAGCCACACCAGCCAGGGTGAGACACAAGAAACATTTAATCAGTTAATTAATTAATATTATTTTTTTATTAATACTCACCTGAGGATATGTTTATTAATTTTAGAGGGAGAGGAAGGGAGAGAGGGGTGGAGGAGAGAGACCTTGATGTGAGGGAGAAAGGCCGATCAGTTGCTTCCCATATGTGCTCTTACTGGGGATCAAACCCGCAACCTAGGTATGTGACCTGACCAGGGACTGAACCCACAACCTTTTGGTGTACGGGACAATGCTGCAACCAAGTGAGCCACCCAGCCAGGGCAATAAGAGACCTCTTAAGTATTTTTTTTAAGAATTATATTAAATATAACTTTAAATCCTAATGATAGTGATGATTAATTATAATAATAAACTATTTCTTACAGAATATTCTATATAATATAAGACATAAGGATAGTTAATATTTACTGAGGACTGTGTGCCACTGTTCTGTTTATGGATTTTTTTTTTAAGTGAACATATCCTCAAGATTTGTCTTCATTATAAAACAAAGTATGAAGCTTAGGACTGGATCACTTGGTCCTATCTCTTCTTATCTCCTCCCAGTTCAATATGCTTGCATCTCTTAATAGCCTTCTTTTAGATCTGCTGTTGGGCTTAATGCATTAAAGCCTCAGCACAATCTTTTGTCCTGTTAGCTTTTTTTGTGGGAAATTGGCTTAGTCTGCCCACTATAGCCACTGTACTTCCTATCATAATGTGGCTGTCCCTGCACATACAGAGAATCCTTGCCCTTCTGTACCGTCCCTTTGTCGGGTAGATGCTTGCCACACTTCTTACAGGAAGTTGGTGGGTTTTAGGAACGTTCACCATGTTTGTGAGAGCGCTATTGGCACAGAAGGTGTTTGTGGATTCTTATGTAATTGTCACAACCACCCATGGAAGTGGATACTATTATCCTTATTTTATATCTTTGGAAAGTGAGGCATTTGTTTAGATTCAACAGGGAAGTGGGAGAGGCAGGATTACAACTAGGGTTTTTAACGGTTATCTGGAGTGCCCTCTACAGGTAATGCTCCTGTCTTGTTGCAGAGGTGTCCAACCTTTTGGCGGCTCTGGGCCTCACTGGAAGAAGAAGAGTTGTCTTGGGCCACACATTAAATACACAAACACTAACAAAAACTGATGAGTGAAAAAAAGGTGTTAAGTAAATTTACAATTTTGTGTTGGGCCACATTCATAGGCCTCCCTGTGGTCTGCAGGCCCATGGTCCGCAGTTGGATGCCCCTGCTAGAGTAAAATATTTAGTCTCAAAAATACAGCATAAAAAGATATTTATTGTTGAGCATTTTGGATTGCTAAATATAAATGTAAATGTAAATATAAATATGCCCCTAGAGAGACATAAGTATTTCACACTTTTATTTCATTAATCAAAGAGTGCAGTGTGCTGAGAAGGTAAAAAAACGAACAAATCTCATGCTTGTACTTTATAACAGATTATTTTCTCTTTCCCTTGAAATTAATAAGCGACCTCACTACATCTAATTATAACTCATATTATTTGGAGAGTAGATTGAATCCTGAGTTTTTAAATGGGTCTCTCTCTTGGGTGTTATGAGGATTAATGCCTGTAAGCTATAATGTGTAAGTGCCTTGAGCTTATCAGAGGAATAGTTATTGTGAAGTAATAGGAAGGAGGTCATTCTGTTTGCAACGAATTAACAAAAATGTGGCCAGGTTAGCTGTAGAATCTATGGGTAGTTCCCAAGGTTTTTTCATCTATTAAAGCTGCTTTTTACTTAAAAAAATGTAGTAAATTAAAAAATGTGTCCTAACTTCAGGTTGTCATACACACCCCAGCCCAGTTTCTTTTGCACTGTCTAACATAGCTCATGGATATTTGTTCTCTTTGGAGTCAATAGAGTTTAAAAAATTCTTTAAAAAGAAGTCTTACAGTCACTCTGATCTCGGAAAGACATACTAATTTTATACTCTTTTACATTAAAAAAATTGGTTGATAAAAAGGTATAGAGTGTGAGCACTCATTTTCCTTTTGTTTGCTTTCTGTCTTTGTGATAGATTCGAGCTGCCAACCTTAGTGGAGACTGCTCCCTTGTAAATGAAATATTCAGGTTTCATTTTGGATTAAAACAACACCATCAGGTAAAAACTAACATGAAATCACTTATCCTCAAGAGTGCTAAGAATGGAAAGAATGAATAAAGAAATGAGAAGTACATTTAGTATATGAAATTTGAAAGAACTATTTATATGAAAAGAATACAAAGGTTTTTGTTTTTATTTTTTTAAATTATATTATTGATTAGGTTATTATAGTTGTCCCAATTTTTCCCCCTTTGTCCCCACCCCCTCAGGCATCCTGATACCATCGTTCATGTTCATGGGTCATCAGTGTAAGTTCTTTGGCTACTCTATTTCCTGTACTGTACTTTATATCCCCATAGCTATTCTGTACCTACCTATTTGTACTTAATCTTCTCACCTTTTCACCCATTCTCTCACACCCCACTCCCATTGGCAACCATCAAAATGCTCTCCGTATCCATGATTCTGTCTCTGTTTTTCTTGTTTGCTTAGTTTGTTTTTTAGATTTGAATGTTGATAGATATGTATTTATTGCCATTTTATTGTTCATAGTTTTGATCTTTTTCTTAAATAAGTTCCTTTAACATTTCATATAATAATTGTTTGGTGATGAACCCCTTTAGCTTTTTCTTGTCTGGGAAGCTCTTTATCTGTCTTTCGATTCTAAATGATAAATGAGTTTTGCTGGGTAGAGCAATCCTCCTTCTCATGAGTAAAAGGTAGGTCTGTGCTTTTCATGTTTGAATATTTTTTGCCATTCTCTCCTAGCCTGCAAAATTTCTTTTGAGATACCAGCTGACAGTCTTATGGGAACTCCCCTGTAGGTAATTATCTGCTTTTCTCTTGCTGCTTGTAAGATTCTTTATCTTTAACTTTTGGCACTTTAATTATGATGTGTTGTGGTGTGGGCCTCTTTGCATCCATCTTGTTTGGGATGCTTCTCTGTGCTTCCTGGACTTGGATGTCTATTTCCTTCACCAAATTAGTGAAGTTTTCTTTCATTATTTTTTCAAATAGATTTTCAATTTCTTGCTCTTTCTCTTCTCCTTCTGGCACACCTATGATGTCAATGTTGAACACTTAAAGTTGTCCCACAGGCTCCTTACACTATCCTTGTGTTTTTGAATTCTTTTTTTGTCTTGTTGTCCTGATTGGTTGTTTTTTCCTTCTTTATGTTCCATATCATTGATTTGTTTTTCAGCTTCATCCACTCTACTGTTGTTTCTCTGTAAATTGTGATTTTTTTCAATTAGTGCAGCCTTCATTTCTGACTGCATCTTTTTTATGCTGTTGGGGTCCTCACCAAGTTCCTTGAGCATCCTTATAACCAGTGTTTTGAACTCTGCACCCGATGGATTGCTTATCTCCGTTTTCTTTAGTTCTTTTTCTAGAGTTTCGGTCTGTTCTTTCACTTGGGCTATGTTCCTTTGTCTCCTTGTTTTGGCAGCCTCCCTGTGTTTGTTTCTATTTATTAGGTAGAGCTGCTGGGGCTCCCTGTCTTGGTAGTGTGGCCTAATGTAGTAGGTGTCATGTAGGGTCCAGTGGCACAGCCTCCTCTATCACCCAAGCTGGGTATTAATACTCAAGGTGTGCCCTTCTTGTGGGCCGAGTACACTCTCCTCTTGTAGTTGAGCCTTGGATGCTGTTGGCAGATCAGTGGGAGGCATTTACCCAGGCCAGTCAGATGCAAGGGCTGACTGTGACCGCTGATCACCAACCTCTGCCCTCCATGGAGGATCAGCTGTGCAGGGGCAGGGTGGTGGTGCTCCAATGTGGTCTGTAGCTCTCCACTAAGTGTGCTGGCCCTGGCGTTTCCTGGGTGGTGTAGGCCAAGGTCAGCCCCACCTGTGTTTTGCCCACAGCCACCTGCCTGAGCTATAAAGCAATCTGAGATGGTTACTACTTGTACTGGGCTTAGAGATTTCAAGGCGAAGCCAAGCTGTGAATCTAAGTTGGCTGCTGCTAATGCTATGTGTGGGGCCACTTAGCAAGAAGTATGGGGGGCTTTTGCTTGTTTGAAAGTTTAGGAGCTTGTGGAGCATGAGCCAAGACCAGCAATATAAAAGACCATATGGAAAAGCCACTGTTAACATCTGTAAGTGAGGTGGGATGGAGTCTCAGGGAATCTCCAGGATGGGGCAGTGTTAGCCAGGTTGATGGAGTCTTAGATATGGCACCAGACTTTTGGCTCTGTGGCTCTGTGTGGAGGAAGGTTCAAGAAAGGGATAATGGCCTCTGTCCTTCTTTCTGTCTGGGAAAAAGTTGTCTTTCAGCTCTTGCCTTGATGCCAGATAGTTCAATTCCTTTCTGTATGCCACTGGTGCCATTCAAGCTGGTATCCTGGTGTTGGAGCTCAGAGGGAGTGAGTCTAAGTAAGACCGTGTGTGGGTTTGTTTAAGAGGAACTGCTTGGGACTCTAGCTGTTTTTTCCACTGAGTTGATCCTCACTGGTTTTGCAGCCAGAAGTTATAGGGACTTCCTTCCTGGCATTGGAACCCTGGGCTGAGGAGCCTGGTATGGAGCTTGGACTCCTTGTTCCTGAGATATCTCTCCCAAATTTTTATCCACCACATGTGGATGTGAGACCAGCCTGTTCTGTGTCTCCACTCCTCCTACCAGTATGGGTGGATGTGATTTCTTTATTTCCGTAGTTATCTGACTTTCATTCAGCTCGATTTCTGATGGTTCTGAGTGATGGTTATTCTATATTAGTTGCACTTTTGATGTGATTATGCACGAGGTAAGCTGTGTTTATTTTTGCCGCCATCTTGAGCGGAAGTCAAGAATACAAATAGATGGAATTTTGTTCTGTTTTATAATTATGGGCAAGCTGTGTGAGTGACTGAGAGATTTTTTTTTTTAGATTTTATTTATTTATTTGTAGGCAGAGGGGAAGGGAAGGAGAAAAAGAGGCAGAGAAACATCAACGTGTGGTTGCCTCTTGCATGCCCCCTACTGGGGACCTGGCCCGCACCCCAGGCATGTGTCCTGACTGGGAATCAAACCAGCGACCCTTTGGTTCACAGGCTGGTGCTCAATCCACTGAGCCACACCAGCCAGGGCTGACTGAAAGATTTTAATAGTAAAAAGAACTATTATGATCTTGCTCTTGGGATACTTCTGAATGAGCGTAGATAAGGAGTGGAAGTGAAATCATAACCTGTCTTACTTTTATCCTAGTTCTCCGAGACATTTTAAAACTTTCACAGTATTCTCAAGACAAAGAAGTAATACCTTTCAGAAGAGATGTGTTGCAGCACAGGTTGTGACTGTGTATTAGTGCACCTTTAAAGGATGTATGATATCATAGCAGAGTTTTGAATTGGCACAGATTTGATCATGATGAACTGAGTTGAGAGGGAATTTGTAAACTAAACTAAACAAAGCCTATAACAAAAACAAAAAAAGAAAACTATCATCCTGTTAGAAAGCTTTGCCATCACATCTTACATCTGTCTGCCATAGATGGACACAAGGAGCAGAGGATAGAACTGATGGACTGACAATGAATGTGAACAATTCTGCCCGCAGCAACTAAGGGACTCTGTTTCCACACTTAGGAGAAAGGCTGGTCAGAGATTTTCTATGGGAAGAGCTTGCTGGGCCAATCTGTGAGGGTCATGTGCATCAGGATAGCAGTTTCAACCAGATGCAAAACGTATAGGCTTGGACCAGCAGAGAGGCCCTGGGTTTTCTTGAGAAGAGAGTAACTAAACTCTGGGGTGGAAGGTTGAAAGTCACAGTAAATTGCTAAGAGATATTGTGAACTTAGTAAGTGGGAGCAAGAGGAGACCTGCTGCCTGGAGAGGGTGATGACTCAGGATGGCGGTTAGGCTTTCAGCCTGTGCTAAGTCAGCTTAGTGACGCGGCACTGAGTTGCTGTGTGCCACTTGTCTTCTGTGCCCCTGAATCCCTGTTCCTGTGGGAAATTCAGGTTGGGTTGAGTTTGAGTGGGCGGAGTGCTCTAGCTCTCAGTGGGAAGGGTGGCTGTAGGATGCACACTGGCACGCCCAGAGAAGAGGATAATGTGGTTAAAACAGGTGATCCAGGGGCCAGAGTCTTTGAAAAAGTCTTTCCTTTTAAACAAAACCAAACCAAACCTTGGGTAGCCCCAGCAAAAAACAAATAGTATGAGCAATAGGATAGTAAATATGTGGAGACCGTGGGAGCCAGATTGAGGGAGAAGAGTCTTTGGGGATGGAGTCTTGCTTTTGTACCCAAGAGGTATAAACATCAACCACAATAATTTATTGTAAAATTGCACACTTTTAACAGGAATTTATTACATGTAGAAAGAAGTGAGTCTGAGTTGTGATCTATACTTGTGTCTTCCTGTGGCTCCAGGAGACAGATTTTTACCAGCATTTTTTTTTTCCAGAAGGGGAGAGATTTCCTCTTTTTCTGGCAATTGCGGTTGTGGCTCCATACCATTCTTCCTCCCCTTCTTATTCCTTTATGCCTGGGGTTTATTTTAAAATTAGTATTTGGTGTAATTTAGGTTGAGAAGCAGTGTTCTGTATTCCAGCATCAGTGAGCATCTCCAGGTTGGTCATGCTGACCAGGCTGAAGTAAAACTGGGAACACGCGGAGAAGAATTAATGATTGACAGGGTGCACAGCCATCAGAGCCAGTGTTTGGTTATTTTTCAGGACAAAGTTAAATGCCATTCTTTTGAGTTTTAGTTTGGGCCTGTGGAGAAATATGTTGAGTAAAAGCTGTCCAAAAATTGGAATGGCGGGACCTTATGTTTCTTAAAATATTTAGAATACTGAGAAATTCTAGTCAATTACTATGTAACATCAGGTAAATAATTTTCTTAAAAAGAGAGTTTTAATACCCATGTGAAGAACACTGAGAAACAAAAAACTTTGATTTTTTTTCCCCTGAAAAATGAAGACACCTTCACACTGTGTGTATGTATGCGTGGTTTCCTGTTGCCTGCAGAGGACAGTGCTTCTCTTGAAGGAAAAAATACTGGCATTGGTCAACTGCTAAGGACAAGAGTTGCAGAAGTAAAACATTTTAAATTTATTTAAATTTTATTAAAAATTCAACTAGACCATTGTTTATCCACTTTTCTATGATTTTGCAAGTTGAGAGGTATTGTTTGGCAATCACTGCAAAGAACTTCAGAGAATGGTATCTGCTATATTATTGGAAAGGAGGAGAAAATTGAAGGAGGTCTTTTATCTAAATAATTTTAGATTGAGATAAATATGCTCCATAGTTTAAGAGTTATGTTTCTTCTTTGGAATGACAGAATAAAATAATAGGAAAATGAGTTTCGATTATGGTTCAGACATTGTATAAAATGTTATTTTTTCATGATTAAATTTTCATATATAATTAAATGCATATACTTTTTTTCTCCCCTTAGACTTGCGTGAGAGACAGAGCCATTCTTTCTATCCTGGCTGTTAGGAATATCAGCAGAGAAGTAGCTGAAAAGGCTGTTGATGAAGTTTTTGAATCTTGTTTCAATGACCATGAACCTTTTGGAAGGATCCCCCATAACAAGACTTACGCAAAATATGCTCATAGAGACTTTCAAAACCGTGATCGATATTACTCAAATATATGAAGGCAAGGACATTTTTTATTGTAGAGCTTCAGTGATCATGGAGAAAATATGGTTCTCAAATGCACAAATGTGTAAAACGTAAATAATCAATTAAATACAGATAAAATAGAAGATGCTGATTCTAGCACATGATCAGAAAAAGTAACTGGTGAAAAATGAAACTACCTTAAATTTCAAGGCAAAATTGTGTAGCTTACCATTTGGTAAGTAAGGCAAATAAATTACATTTTTTGTATTTTCTACATTGTACTTGTGTTTTTTATTATTGTGATATTATTTTTTATTATATATGATGTTTTTAGATTTAATTAAGAAACCTGTGAAGTGGTGCCCTTGTATGATGTTGATAGGTGACCACTGTTGATATTTACATAAAGAAAAAGTATAATTATAGGACATTTATTGTGATATTTTTATGATCAAAACATGCAATAAATGAAAACTGGAAATAATTTAGTCAATGACCCATGCCTTCCTACTCCCTGCTCGTCTTTCAAATATATGCGGGGACTATGTGGTTTAATTTTCTGGGGACAGTCTTGATTAGATTTTTCCTTTCCCTTTTCTTTCTTTCTTTCTTTTTTTATTTTTTTAAGTAAAGGCCAGTACATTAAATTTATAATGCAATTGAACTTAATTTTTATGTACTTATAAGATTTTTCACGTGATCATTCTTAAATCTTTTGTCAAGCCCTGACCTGAGTTTTGAATTCAGAAAACATGGCCATTTTATCTATCTCCCTTCCCTGTTAATTCATCTACCAGCAGTCCCAGAAAACCTCTCTTGGCCCATGTCCAGACTGAAAGAGAGTAATACCTGTGTGTCGTGGTGGCTAATTAAAGGTTTAAAGATAAAATAATCCTGCTAATTTCATTGTGTTAAAATTTGATTAAATATAAATTATAAAGTGATAACTCAAGCTTAGGGACTTATTAAACATTAAAACATGGTTTCAGGATTCTGGGAAGATGTGGAATAGGAAACAATAGAAACCTGTCTTCCCACCTAGACAAAATTGTGCTGGCAGAATCTGTCTGATGTAAATATTTTGGACTTCGAGAGTCTGTTGAAGGCTTGCAACTTCCAGGGCGAGTCTTAGGTGGTATACTAAGCTAATTTTGATCAATTTCAGCTCTTAGTGCAATAATACCTACGGAGCTCCCACCACTGTGCCCTGTGGCAGGCAGCTGTGCATGTTTTCCTGGAGCAGCTTATATGCAGATAGTGGGAGCCAGGATGGCAAAAAGGCTTCCTGTCTTCCATATATTTGGGATCTGCTCTGTCGCTCATTGCTCCTGCTTTTCACAGAGGTTCAGACAAAGAGATGGCATTGTTGCACCTCCCATATCTGCAAACTGCTTTTCATCTGGTTAAAGTGACCTACAGAGTGTTTACAGGGCACATCCCCTTTTTTCCTACTAATATTTATCTTTTCCCCCTTTTGGGAGCCAGACATTGAAGACTAGAACATTAAAAAACAATGGCATATACAGGGGAAATTAGAAAGTCACTATTCATGCCCAGGAAACGGTGCAAGCTCAGAAAAGACCCAGGAGGACCTTAAATTTATACGTCAGGCAGATCTTTGACACAGAGATAGCCTATAACAACAACGCCCCCGAACTCCCCCAAACCCTCCTTCCCCTAAAACAACCAAAAGTCCTCCAAACCCCAAACAACAGCAAACCCTGGGGAAGGGCAGAATCTGATTTTCAGAGTTACCTTGTCATTAGATTCAAATGACCAGTTTTAATTAAAAAAACACAACAAAACAAGGCATACAAAGGATATACAAGGTATAGATAGGAATATATGCCTCAAAGGAAAAAAAGCAAACAAACTGACAACCTATTTTGAAAAGAACTGATGGCGGATTTACTAGACAAGTAACTTAAACAATTGTCTGAAAGATGCTGAAAGACCTAAAGTAAGGTGTGGAGAAGGTCAAGAAATGATGTGTGAACGGAATGAAAATATCCACAAAGAGCTAGATTACTTATAAAGGAAACAAAAAGAAATTCTGGAGCTGGAAAGTAAAATAACTGAAATGAAAAATCTACTTAGGGATTCAAAGGCAGGTAGAAGAAAAAATTAGTGCACTTGAAGATAAGACAATGAAAATTGCTGAGTCTGAGGGACAGAAGGAAAAAAAAAATGGAACAGCCCTGGCTGGGTACTTCAGGTTTTAGCGCCTGTGGGTTTGATCCGTGGTCAGGGCACATACAAGAATCAACCAATGAATGCATAAATAAGTGGAATAACAAATTGATGTTTTTCCCTCTTTCCCCTCCCTCTCTCTAAAATCAATAAAAACAATTAATAAAATAAATGGAATAGCCTAAAGGACCCGTAGGACACCATCAAATTGAACATTTGTATTGTGAGAGCCCCAGAAAGAGAAGAGAAAGGGGCAGAGAGAATAATTGAAGAAATAATGGTTTGTAATACCACATTTTGTTTTCTACATGTTTTAAGAGACGAATATATTTAAAAGAATTATTAGTTTATGTTTTGGGAAAGAAGATATAAATACATAGTTTTATGAAATCAAAAACTGAAAGTTCAGGGTGGTGATAGAATTTTAAAGAAGCAGAATTTTTGTGTGTGATTGAAGTTATGCTGGTATAACTTCAAAATAGAGGGTTAAAATTTTAGGTTGTTAAATATAATCCCAATGAACAAAGAAAATAGCCATTGACCATACAGAAAGGAAATGAGAAAGCAATTTTAATGTTTCACTACAAACAATCAGCTAAATACAAAAGAAGAGAATAATGCAGGAAATGGGAGAGAAAAATCTGCAAGGTATATAAAAAAATAGCAAAATGCCAAAAGTTAATCCCTAATTATCAGTAATTACTTCAAGTGTAAATAAAGTAAACTCTTCAATTAAAAGATAGATGGGCAGAATGGAAAAAAAATATAACCCAACCATAGGATGCCTACAAAACACTCAAGATGCAGACACAAATAGATTAAAGGTGAAAGGATAGAAAAGGATATTCCATGCAAATAGAAACCAAAAGAGAGCAGGGGTGGCTATACTAACCTTAGACAAAATAGACTTTTCAATCAAAGATTACAAGAGACAAAGAAGAACATTATATATTATTAAAAACTCAATAGAACAAGAAGACATAACAATTATAAACATTTATACACTGACACCTCAGCAAAATATTTGAAGCAAAAATTGACAGAATTAAAGAGAGACATAGTTCTATTCAATACAATAATAGTTGAAGATTTCACTTCCCCACTCTCAATAATGAATAGAACAACCAGACAGAAGATAACTAAGGATACAGAGGACTCAAATAACATAAGAAGCCAATGAGAGCTATCAGACATATGCAGAACACTAGACAACAACATTCATGCTCATTCGTCTCAAGTGTACACAAGACATTTTCCAAGTTGACCATATGTTAGGCGAAAAGTTAAGTCTCAATATATTTAAAAAGATAGATATCATACATCTCTGATCACAAAGGAATGAAGTTAAATCAATAACAAGGAAAATTGAAAAATTCACTAATTTGTGGAAATTAAAGAACACACTTTGTTGTTTTTTAAAGACTTTATCTATTTTAGAGAGAGGAAGGAAGGGAGAGGGAGAGAAACATCAGTGTGAGAGAGAAACAAGAGTCAGTTGACTCTTGTATGCGTCTGCAATGGGAGCTGAACCTGCAACCCAGCCATGTGCCCTGGGAATCGAAGCAACTACTTTTTGCTTTGCAGGATGATACCCAACCAAATGATCCACATCAGTTAGGGCTAAAGAACACACTTTTAAACAGCCAACAGGTCAAAGAAAAAGTCACAAGGAAAATTAGACAATACTTAGAGATGTATTAAAAAAAACACAACATACCAAAACTTATGGGACACAGCAAAAGCAGTGCTAAAGGGGAAATTTATAGCTCTAAATGCTTACATTAAAAAACAAGAAAGATCTGAAATCAGCAACCTAACTGTACAAGTTAAGGAACTAGAAAAAGGAGAGCAAACTAAATCCAAAGCTAGCAGAGAGAAGAAATAATAAAGATTAGAGACCAGTGAAACAGAGGACTAAAAAAATAGAGAAAATCAATGAAACAAAAAGTTGCTTCTTTGAACAAGTCAACAAACTTGACAAATCCTTAGCAAGATGGACCAAAAAAAAAAAAAAAAAAAAAAAAAAAAAAAAAGAAAGGAAAAGGAAAAAGACCTTGAATTGTTTAACTTAGAAATGAAAATAGGGACATTACTACCGATTCTACAAAAATAAAAAGGATTATTAGAGAATACTGTGAACAACTGTATACATACAAATTGGAACATAGAACCTATCAACACCAAACCATGAAGAATTAGAAAATATAATTAGACTTATAACTAGTAAGGAGACTGAATCAGTAATCAAAAGTCTACTGTCAAAGAAAATCTGTAGCTTCATTAGTGAATTTTATTAAACATTTAAAGAACACCAATCCTTCTCAAACTTTTTGAAAAATTGAAGAGGAGGGTACACTCCCCAACTCATTCTATGAGGCCAGAGTTACTCTGATATGAAACCCTGACACATATACTACAAGAAAAGAAAACTACATATTAATATCCTTTATGAACACTGTTAAATCCTCAAAAAAAATGTTAGCAAACCAAACCCAGCAAGATATTAAACGGATCACACACCATGATGAAGTGGGATTTATTCCTGGAGTAACAAGGATGGTTCTGCATCTGAAAATTGACCAATGTAATATACCACATTAACAATGAAGGAAAAAAACCTCATAGTCATCTCATTGAAGCAGAAAAAGCATTTGACAAAATTCAACACCCTTTCTTGATTAAAAAACTCAACAAATTAGGAATAGAAGGAAAGTACCTCAACATAATAAAAGCTGTATATGGAAAACCCACACTGAACATCATACTCAATGTGAAAGATAACAGTTTTCTTCTATGATTAGGAACAAGGCAAGAATGCCTGCTTTTGCCACTCTATTCAACATGTGACCAGAAGTCCTAAGTGGAACAATGAGCAGGTAAAAGAAATATAAAGGCACCCAAACTGGAAAGGAAGAAATAAAAGGATTTCTGTTTGCAGAAGACAAGATCTTAAATGTAGAAAACCTTGAAGATTCCACACAAACAAAACTGTTAGAAGTAATAAAACCAAGCAAAGTAGCAGGACACAAAGTCAACACAGAAAAATCACTGGTATTTCTATGAAATATAAGTGAGTGCTAAAAATAAATAATCTGAAAAGGGAATTAAAAAAAATTATTCCATTTACAATAGCATCAAAAAGAATAAAATGCTTAAGAATTAACTACACAGA